ACCATATTTCTAAGATTTTCAGGGCCGAGTACAATAACCTCAGTTTTATCTGAATTAAGAAGCAGAAAGTTAGAGGTCATCCAGGTCTTTATGTCTTTAACACATCCCTGCAGTCTAACTAATTGGTGTGTGTTATCTGGCTTCATGGACAGATAAATTTGTGAAGCCAGATAAAACACAAGTTGGGTGTCATCTGCTTAGCAGTAGCAGGGCTTTCTTATAAAGCAGCAAACTATTTCTCCAGGCTAAATGATGATCTTCTAAATGTGAGAGACACCACTTCCTCTCCAGCTTACGAGTTATTTGCTTTTGGCTACGTGTTTGAGAATTATACCAGAGAGTCAAGTACTTCTGATTTGAGGCCTACAGGATTTAAATGTTATCAGGAAATGATCAGACAATAAGTATTGCAGAAGGCCAAGCACCAAAATCAAACACACCGTAATGCAGGTTTATGATTTCATGAAACTCTATACGCAGATCATAAGCATTAGCAGTGAGTGTGTTTCAAACGTCACGCGTGATTTTACTGTGACGTGCAGCTGCTGCTGTGTGCCCTTTGCACGGAGTAGTCCAGCTGCGTGGGTCTCACCTGTGTGCGCCCGGGCTGAGGGACAGTCACGTCAGAGCGCAGTCTGAGGACTGACGGCGCTCCGAACTCACTCACTCTAATGGCTCTCATCAACCTGCTGCCTGACATGCCCGCACATGCGCTCAGATAAATCAACCTTGAAAGTCGGACGTCGTACTCTTCTGGACTTCCACACTGCGTCAAATTGCGCTGCTTCTTCTACGTTTTGAGGCGTTTGTTGAAGGTTTTCTGTGTTGTCGCCCTCTGCTGTGCGGCTGGGGAAGTGCTCCGTCGACTACATCTGCAGTCCAGGCCAACACTGAGCGCACACGGCTTTTACTTTGTAATTCTCAGCACAGCTGCACAAGTATTATGTGTTACATTTAGCAGTACTTTTTTTAAATACCACACAATATTTACACATCACACTGGAATTATTATGCAAAGTCTGTTTGATTCTCGACACTGATCACAGTTGTTAGCTGGATCCTTTTCCACTAATTTCAGTGCACGTCAGCACAGTAAGTCCAGTTCTTAATGTGGCATTAATCTGTGTTGTATGTGTGTCAGGAAAATTTACTCTGCTCATTTTCAAATCTGACATTTTCGGATTTGAAACTGTAAAAGTGGAGCACTGTCAGAGGAACATACTGGGCGGTTGCCCAGGGCCGCATCATGGTGGGGGCGGCATCTCCCCCCCCAAAAAGTTGCCCCGACATCAGCCAGCGCATTTTGGAGATGACATGGGCACCGATCGGTTTCCTATGTTTGCGAGGTGCGGGGATTCTCTGGCTGGCTGGAGAAGCATCTAATAACCAACTCGCAAAATAAAACAAAATATAAACAAACCAACAAACACGAAAACACCAGACAGCATGATACAGACTTATAATTGGCACCGATGTTTTTTCGAAATTCTATACGCGAAAAGTGAGCCCTCGGTGCGCCTGCTCGCTGCTGAAGTCAAAGTAAACTTTATTGTCATCTCCGCTACATACAGTCCAGTATATAGAGAGACGAGGAGACTCCAGTTACGGCAGT